GTGGTTCAACAGAATTATTTAAAAAAATAAACTCATGAAACAGGCCTGGACAAAAATGATGGTACCCCTAGAAAAGACTGAAAATAATGTGACCACAGGGACATGTTCAATCAAGGTGTGTCCTCTAATTAGCATCACAGGTGTCTACAGACTTGTAGTCAGTCAGTGGGCCTATTTGTAGGGCTACAAGTAGTCACTGTGCTGTTTGGTGACATGGTGTGTACCACACTAAACATGGACCAGAGGAAGCCAAGGAGAGAGTTGTCTCAGGAAATTAGAAAGAAAATTATAGACAAGCATGTTAAAGGTAAAGGCTATAAGACCATCTCCAAGCAGCTTGATGTTCCTGTGACTACAGTTGCACATATTATTCAGAAATGTAAGATCCATGGGACTGTAGCCGACCTCCCTGAACGTGGCTGCAGGAGGAAAATTGATGACAAATCGAAGAGACAGAAAATACGAATGGTGACAAAAGAGCCCAAAACCACCTCTAAAGACATTAGAGGTGAACTCCAAGGTCACGGTACATCAGTGTCAGATCGCACCATCTGTCGTTGTTTGAGCCAAAGTGGACTTCATGGGAGACGACAAAGGAGGACACCATTGTTGAAAACAAATCAGAAAAAGCCAGACTGCATGTTGACAAGCCACAAAGCTTCTGGGAGAATGTCCTATGGACAGACGAGAAAAAACTGGAACTTTTTGGCAAAGCACATCAGCTCTATGTTCACAGACGCAAACATGAAGAATATCAAGAAAAGAACACTGTCCCTACTGTGGAACATGGAGGAGGTTCTGTTATGTTCTGGGGCTGCTTTGCTGCATCTGGCACAGGGTGTCTTCAATCTGTGCAGGGTCCAATGAAATCTCAAGACTATCAAGGTATTCTAGAGAGAAATGTGCTGCCCAGTGTCAGAAAGCTTGATCTCAGTCGCAGGTCATGGGTCTTGCAACAGGACAATGACCCAAAACACAAAACTAAAAACACCCAAGAATGGCTCAGAGGAAAACACTGGACTATTCTGAAGTGGTCTTCTATGAGCCCTGATCTAAATCCTATTGAGCATCTGTAGAAGGAGCTGAAACATGGCGTCTGGAGAAGGCACCCTTCAAACCTGAGACAACTGGAGCAGTCTGCTCATGAGGAGTGGACCAAAATACCTGCTGAGAGGTGCACAAGTCTCACTGACAGTTACAGAAATGGTTTGATTGCAGTGATTGCCTCAAAAGGTTGTGCAACAAAATATTAAGTGAAGGGTACCATCATTTTTGTCCAGGCCTGTTTCATGAGTTTATTTTTTAAAATAATTCTGTTAAGCCACGGTTCAAAAGCAATGTCTGATTTTCATTGCTTAATTTTCATAGAATTTTTATTTATTATTACTTTTGTCAGATTCAAGTTATTTCTGTGACTGGTGTGAGTTTTTCTTTCATTAACCGTGGGGTACCAACAATTTTGTCCATGTGTGTATGTGGTGATGAGGCAGGAGTGGGAGGAAGGCTGGTGTACCTCCCACGGCCTTATGTGAGGGGAGCTTGGTGAAATGACAGGTAGCTAGTCCAGACTAATCTCACGCACACATGCACAAAGAGAATCACTTTCCTATGGGCAAATGAGACACACTGAAAATCTCTCATTTATTAATATTAGGAGGTGTCACCAGGAGTAATGTAAGAATATTGAACCAGTTAAGACAGAAAAGAGGGGGAACCTCAATAATAATATATAGATGAGTGGTTAGAGAGGAAAGTACCAAGTACTATGAGAGTTGCTATGCAATAAAATTAAACCAAGCTCTTTATGGTTAACTATAATTGTAAAATTTTACCTCTTGTAATCTTAAAAATGAGCAATGTGCAATGCAATGTGAAGGTTCAGTTTGAAATTAAAAAAACAGGTCATGATGTTATTTTTTTTCCTGTTAGAACTCTATCCATCTTCTATACACCACTTTATCCTCTGTCGTGTCACATGGTGGCTGAAGCCTATTCTAGCTGACTTAGGGTGAAGGCAAGGTACATCTGGACAGGTAACCAGTCCATCAGAGGGCCTGTTTGAACTCAAAGTATGTAATAGATCAACATTTCAGCGTAGTTTTTAGTGTTATTAATTTAGCTTTTTTATATAATACCATGATCATGCTCTTCATCATTAAAACACATTTTATGATTTACACTACTAATTAAATTCAGAATTTTTAATAGCTTTAAGCAGTAAAATGTAATAATTTCCATGACTTTGACAAGGTTTAGAATTTTGTCTTGGCATTAGTATTTAGTTTGAAGAGTTTAAATCATGAGATAAGACATGTTCAGGTAAACTATTATGTGCGTATCAAAGTTAAGATTCAGATGGGTTTTGATGCAATATTAATACAAGAATAGGATCAAAGAGACTGTTTGTTTAAGAATGAGGAAGTTTATGGTAATATAAAAGAAGAAAACATATACTTGAAATTTCTCACTTGCCCTACCTTTGGAAGCCTCTGTGCCATATGGCCCACTGCTGTTGTCAGTCAGGTCAGGCAGCCAGGCGTCTTTCACTGCTGACTTGAAGACATGGCGGTTGTCCAAGTTCTGGATGGGCCTGAAGTTGCTGCGCAAATACTCCACTGACTTAACATGATCCTGCTGTTCTGTGGTGAAGATCGAGTAGAAAGCCTCCAACTGGTGCCAGCAAGGAGAGTGAGCATGGCAAAGACACAGAAATGGAGAGAGATTAGTCGAGACAAGAAGAGTTAGTGCCGAGTAGACCTTAAAACCTGTGGTTATTTTGAGTTACTGACTTTTGCATTAATCACACAGAAAACTGCACAAAACACACAGTATCACAATGCATTGTAATTAATTGAAATCCAAGTTGAGAAAATATGAAATTTTAATGATCCCCAGGGTTAAACTGGGTCACTGCAGTAAACAGACGACTTTACATTAAAGAACAGGATTCAAAGGAGATACTGGGAACAGCACATGACTAATGACATAGCATGTGAAGAATATATTCTGAATTGGTGATATATATATATATATATAGTGAAAACATCTAGATGGCAGACAACGTAAAAATGACTTTGGACAAAACAAAATAATTCTCCAGCAGCAATACAGATTCAACATTTTCACATTGTGGCTTTACCTTAAAGGTATAATTTAACATTTTCAGAAATGCGCTTGTTTCTCGACTGGACAAGACTTTATTTAATCTTTAATTTACAGCATCAGAAGGAGCTCGAGTGCGTAGTCTAAGTGTTCCTTGATGAACAACTGAAAGAGGTTGTTGCTCAATGCTGTTGTTAGCCAAAAAAAAGCATTACATTTCTATTTGTATGTAGATAAAACAGATTGATAATGTGTAAAGAAATGATCTTCAGACATAGTGACTTGTAAAGGTATTTATGTATTTTGTAGCTTTGATTTTACGTACCAGTGAATAGCATGTGAATTGAACAAGTATACTGACACAAAGAGGCAGTTCAGATGGTCACAAAACAGTACATTCTAATCAGATGGATTTTTGCATGTTTAGATAATACAATTTTAAATAGCATCTTCACTCACACACACACACACACACACACACACACACACGCACGCACACAAATAAATAAATCACATATCTGGACTGTAAATCCATTTCTATACACCGCTTAATCCTCACTAGGGTCGCGGGGGGGCTGGAGCCTATCCCAGCCGACTTAGGGCGAAAGCAGGGGACACCCTGGACAGGTCACCAGTCTATCACAGGGCTACACTTAGAGACAGACAACCAAGCACACTCACATTCACACCTACGGACAATTTAGAATCACCAATTAACCTCAACATGTTTTTGGACTGTGTGGGAGGAAGCCGGAGAACCCGGAGAGAACCCACACTGCACGGGGAGAACATGCAAACTCCACGCAGAAAGATTCCGGTGCCCCCACCGGGACGCGAACCAGCAACCTTCTTGCTGCGAGGCGACAGTGCTACCAACTGCGCCACCTTGCAGCCCGGACTGTAAATCCAACAATTAAATCATTAGTCAACTTCATGTTTTAAACTTGAGGAAAAAGTGGTCCTGAGGATTTAAAGTGTAAATGTCTCCCACCAGAGGAGATGTTGAAGTCTATCAACAGCCAACTACCAAGAATACACAAAGTATACCAGTCTGACTGTTGGAGCTAACGGTTTCTTAAAGCTACTCTCTTTCTCAGACATACTTGGCCCTACTCCCTAATCCCCAAAAGCTTGCCAAGTTTAGCATCCTTATACAGCCCAAAGACAGTTCAGATCTGCTTCTCTGGAGGAGGAGCACTCAATCACGTAACCTGCCTGGATCTAGTTTAGTATTTGACTGGGTGAAAACTAGAAGGAAGTCTAAGGACAGATGGATGTGGCACCAAGAAATTAAATGGAACACAAAAGAGATAAATCACTGGCACTGTTGAAGACCTGCATTTATACTGTGCCAAAAATAAAGAAGAAGTGACTTTGATGTGACACAGTGAAACTGTTCCTGAAGTTGTTTTAATCTGAAGTTAACTGCCATGCTATCAAGCTGTGGATATTTTTGCACTGCTTTGGGTTGATGTTAAAGTTGGCCTCTTTCTGCATGTTGCCATTTGACAAACACATGCTGGGTGGCAAGATGTGGAACCAGACTTTGATTTGCGCTGTATGATTGAAGTGTCATCTTTCTGTCTGTGTTGGCAGATGGATACAATGCGTTTGGAAGCAATGCACACAAACAGCTTGTATTCATGGGAGTGTTAAAATTGGGAGAGATGGTGGAAAGTTGAAAGGCAGATTTAGTTTCATGAAGGTAAACTTCTAAGTGAGCGACCAATGCAGACACGTGTGACTCTCTTTGTGCTATATTGCAGTAGGTTCAGGTTCTCTGTTTTACTATACATTATTATATCATTACTATACCATTATTGTCGCATTTCTTCTACAGTAGTTCATCCAACTACCTCCCAAGAGAAAATAAGGCCTGGACCAAACCAAAACATCACTGATAGCAAAAGGATTGCTGACATATTTTTGAGAAAATGCTTATGCTTAAATTTAATCTAAAATTGTCAGTTGAAACAACAACCTTTTGATGAATTCTCGCCACTGAAGGTGTGTTCAGACAGAGTAAGGTAATGTCGGCAATGTTATAGAACAAGCAGGTAAAAAGACTAAAGGATTTAAATGCATGATAATTAGCTCAGGTGGCCTAAATAGAGATGAAAATGCAAGTGGAAAACATATTAATTTTATCAAAGATTGTTTTGCCATTTCTGAGGCGTAGTGACCCCCCATACACAACCAATATGTACAGTTGAAACCAGAAATTTACATACACTGTATAAAAAGACACATTAACTGTTTTAGGTCAGCTGGGATTACCAAAATTGTTTCTGTTTGCTAAATACCAGAAAAATGAGAGAGAATTTTTTTTTTTTTTTTTTTTTTGAGAATTTCTCATTACTTTCTTCAAAGTCAGAAGTTTACATACATTTGCTTAGTATTTGGTAGCATTGCCTTTAAACTGTATGACTTGGGTCAAACATTTTGGGTATCCTTTCACAAGGGTCCGAATTGTGGTCCATTCCTCCTGACAGAACTGGTGTAACTGAGTCAGGTTTGTTGGACGCCTTGCTCCACACACCTTTACAACTCTGCCAACAAATTTTCTACAGAACTGAGATCAGGGCTTTGTGATGGCCACTCCAAAACATTGATTTTGTTGTCATTAAGCCACTTTGTGACTAATTTGGCGGTATGTTTAGGGTCATTGTCTATTTGGAAGACCCATTTGCGCCCAAGCTTTAACTTCCTGGCTGAGGTCTTGAGATGTTGCTTCAATATTTCCACATAATGTTCTTTCCTCATGATACCATTTATTTTGTGAAGTGCACCAGTCCCTCATGCAGCAAAACACCCCCAAACATGATGCTGCCACCCCCGTACTTCACAGTTGGGATGGTGTTCTCAGGCCTGCAAGCTTAAAATAAAAAAAAAGGTTACACCTCTGTTTTTTTTTTTTAAATACAGTTTATGTAAACTTCTGGTTTCAACTGTATATTGGTGCCAAAATCTGAGCAGTCACTAAAAGGGATATTTGTAAAGAGCAAACACAAATTGCACAAACCTTTCAGTGGGCACTGGGCAGTTTAGATAATTTTGCTTTGATGTGGAAGCATCTTAAGAATCTAAGGGGGGCACGAGAAAAAGCCTCATAAATTGTCCAAAATGTATATGAATATTTCACAAGAAGTTGTTAACCAGATTTAAATAATTGCTGCGTATACTGTATGCTGCTAACTTTTGTCTGATGGTAGATAGTTATTAAAATGACACTTCAGCTTCAGATAGTGTTTGGAAACCTCTGTTTGAACTGACAATCATCCCCATCTTTTTTGAGCTAAAATTTAATGCACATTAGTCTTGCAAATCCAAAATCTCCAAAGCTGCTGTAAAACAATTCTGAAACTCTCATTGAACTTCAGCCTTCCAGCTTTGGTGACCAGCTTAAGGGCTGACTTTCTGAGGATGAAAGTCAAATCTGAATGTCAAAGCAAAGGATTAGAAAGAAAAAGCCAGAGTTTATTCCCACTGTTTATCAAGCTGTACTAAACCCTGAGGGTTGAGCCTGGACAAAGATGGAGGAAGGAAGTAACATTGCACAATAAAAGAATAAGCAGGGAACCATCATGTTGTTTCTTTGAATTAGAGGAGATGTCTATGAGGCAAGGACATTAACAGCATTGTTTGGTGTTGAAGATAAATTTTGGAATTGAAAATCTGAACTGAAAAGATTCAAACCCTGGACTTGAAATGTTTGTATTTCACAAGTTGTATTGGCATTAAAACAATGGCACTGAAAAAAGTTGAAATAAAAAACACAGGTTTTTATTTATTAACATATAATTTGCATACCAAGGTCCTGGCGATCTCCCAAAACCCACAAGTCTGAGCCTGACATGAAAGACATCTGCTTTACTTCACAAGCTGCAAAAAATATGCACCACTGTGCTATACTATATTCAATTGCTAAAAGATATCTGCTCCCCCACCTGTAGTTAGTTACCTGGCTTTTTTACCAAAAGGAAAGGCAAAAACTGCTTTTCCCCCTTACAAACCACTCCAGGGAAGTCCAACATTTGTAATGTTATGCCATTCAATCTGTATGTATGGTGGTGAACAATGACTATACAGGCACTCCTTCTGCCTCTAAAGAGTTGAGCTTGAGCAGAGTGGATACAGTATAAGCCATGCAATGGTACTGTAACCACAACTTAAGCATAACTTCAGCATTAAAGTACACTGTGGTAAATACAGTTATTTTGATGAAGTACAATTAGTGTAAGGTTTACAGTGGCCTTGGACCAGGGTGTGATTAAAAATTAGTTGAGAAATTGTGAAACAAGGTGTTCTAACAGGTTTGCTTGGGTTGAAACCAAGTGATTGTTTTCCCTGAGCAAATGGGTGCAATAGAGGGCTCCAGATTCTGCCCACTATGGTCACATATGCAGCCATTTTTTTGACAGTGTAATTTCATGTGGTTTTATTCGTGCAAATGTATGATTATCATTAGCCTGATTTGGAGCCCTTTCTGGCCACCATGGGCAACTACTGCTGGGCAATTGTGGTTTGAGGTAGTACATTTACTTATTCAGTGATTCCATCAGTCTCTC